ACTTTAGAGTGAAGATGCATATCAGAGCCTGGCCCTCTCTCTGGAAGAGCACTGCTTTGTGAAATGAATAAGTGAGAAAGAGTTTTGATGTTTGCATCCTTAATAAATTCCTCACTCATTTTGTGTTGGCTTGTGTATTGGAGAATTTGATCCAACAACCAGAAACAATTATGTGTTGGATTTCCAACAGCATCTAAACAATTAGAGTCACCAAATACTGCTATTCTACCTTTTCCAGATTTTGAAAATCCTAGTACTGGTACTTTGTGGATTGTACTGGAGGAGTCTGTTCCAAGAATTGGTTTTGAATTTTGTTTTCCACTCAAAATTTCAATACCTTGATCTTTAAGATGGAAAGAAGCAAGCATACCTTCTTCAGGGAATTTAATAATACTAGTTCCTGAGAGGAAAGAAGCCTTCTCTTTTCCAATTGTTATCTCACCTGTATAGACTCTTGTACCAAAAACAATGTTGAAAGGATCCAACAATGCATTCAGTGCTGGTAAATTACAACCTCCAGTAATTGGAGTCCAAACAGTATAGGTATTATCATCGAAAAATTTGATATGTTTCATGATTGGAACGCTGTACCAGTCAGCAAAGACAGCAACAGAAAGACCATAAACTTGAACATCTTCTTTCAGTTTTTCTCTCTCTTTTTCTGTAAATTCTTCTTCAGAGTCTACAATCATGAGAGTAGAATATTTGGATGCATCAAAGGTTGTGAGATCTCCGGTTAGGATTTCAACATAATAACCCTTGTTTCTCAAGAAAATATACAAATCTCTAAAGTTGGTATGGATATGATCACCATTCCAGTCCAAAATTTCATCCTTATTACCTAAATTATCTCTTGGAATGTAACCTGGTGGATATTGAATGTTATGATATTGATCCCACAATATTCTTTGCTGTCTCAAGGGTGGTTGAATTACCTTGACTTTTAATTTAAGTTCCATCTCACTAACTTGCATCTCGTTGCCATCTTTTCCAACTCCCAAAGGAGGTGACATGATTTTCATCTTGATTGTTCCTTCACAATAGCCATTGAAAAATCTTCCTCCACTATTAACAGAGATTTGTACACCCAACCATCCAGAATATGGCCACATTACCCTTGGATGAGTAAAGGTAACATCTAAAAAGTCACCATACTTTCCAGGTACAAAAACTGGTTCTCCAACAACTCTTCCAGAGGCGCTCATAGCATTAAGGACAGTAACATTGAATACAATAGGCATTGCAGTATGATAAATAGGTTGTGAACAGTATGGCCACATGTATGGGCAAGATGTAAGATCCAATTCACTAGGATAAAAAGTAGCTCTAGGTTTGGCTTTTTCCATGTAATCTTGGAGTAATTCGTAGGCCTTCTCTAGGTTTAGTTTACCTGCTCCTTGTTCGAAAATATTGGCATGATGAACTCTTTGAGCTGATTCTAAAAGTATTTGCTTGATACTGGCTGGATTAATGAGTGGCAATAAAGAATTATGAGTATTTGGATAGTCATCCATTTTAGCTCTTATTGAAATATCGTCAGAGTTTTGAGTAGAGGTATCCTTATTCTTCAGAGTACTACTGGCAAGGAGAGTAATAGCACCAGCAATAACTGGACTTGCTACACTTGTTCCAGATAAAATAGAATGACAATATCCAACATTGTCACCAGCCTTATTCAACCCAAGTCCTCTAAGTTTGACTGACATGGTTACAATGTCTGGTTTAACTCTTCCATATCCATTATTAAAACGTAACTCGTAAGTGGTAACACCTCTACTGCTAAACTTTGCAATATTATCATTATCGTCAATACCTCCAACACCAATCACATTTACAAGATCTGCAGGATTGTTAAGTGTTCCATAAAGAGGGCCATCATTACCAATGGCAGAAATAATAATAATACCGTTGGCTGTGAGTTCCTTTACCTTATCTATGAATGGGATATCGAGGTAATCAGGTCCACCAATGCTCAAATTCAAGATTTGAATACCAGATTTCATAGCATAATTGAATGCATCCAAAAACCAGGATGTATACGAAACTTGTTTGCTTGTAAATACTTTAAAGATGAAAACAGAGGCTTCAGGAGCAAGACCTCTACATCCAGATCCCCTTTCCTTCTTCTCATTAAAAGGTTGTGTAGTGTTGGACTTTGGTGTGTAGGGTGTCAAATGCTTAGAGCCAATAACTCCAGAGATGAAAGTACCATGACCTAACTCATCATTTACAGAGTCTTCTGTTGTATAATTTATCATATCTTCAATATGAGAGAAGGATTCTTCATGTTTAGTACTGGAAAGTCCAGTATCAAAAACAGCAACTCTAATATTTTGTCCATAAATACCCTGTTCCCAAAGTTTGTGGGCATTCAATTTTTCTGAAACATCAACATAGGAATGACTTGGATGATTACATAATTTTCTCCTGTGATGGTGGTGGTCTGAATATTTATCCTCGGTTGACCATTGAGTAAATAATTTTCCAATACTATTAAGAATTGAGTGATCTTGTTCATCATCTGGAAGTGTTTCAATATCGTGATTGAGTAATTTTCTTTCATTGTTCATCATGTTGTGATATTCATGTTGACGAACAACATATCGTACAAATTGAGTCCTTGACTCTAATTCTGACTTTAAAGTAATATTTTCAAATTCAACAAGTGCAAAGTCAGTGTCAAACATTCTAGTAGCTGCATTATCCCTTTCAATTATTTTATATCCTCTATGAGTTCCTCCTAAAAGTGTGCTAATGTATTCATCATGTTTAAATGCTTTCATATATTCTTTAAACATGACAATGTACCTCTCTCGTGATGTAGGAGTTGTATTGTTATTGTTGTTATTTGATGCAGTTGCTCCTTCCATATTTTGACCACTACTATTACTACCAATACTACTGGTATTAAACTTCTTACACATCCTGTGTAAATTCTTCGATTTTACGAAAGGAATGGGTTGGAAAAATCTTTCATACATTTTCCTAACAGAGCATTGATTTGACGTGCTACTATGAGCAGCCATTACATAAAATCCACCACTTTCAATATTGGTGTCAAACTCGTAACCTTTCAATAATTTAGAGAGGTCTGATATTATAATATAAAGAGTTAGTATTATTATTAGTGATAACAAAATTGTTTTGAATAGTTTAGATGATTCTCGCTTCTCGTATCTATGTACATTTCCTATTATTTTCTTATTGTTTATATTAAAAATATTATTGTTATTGTTGATATTAAATTGCCTCAATCCGGAATTCCGTGATGAATGTATTTTAAAATATAAATTGTTCATCATTGATATTAGTATATTTACTAGTGTGTTTTGGTTTATTGAATGATGATCAGCACCTTCCTCTCTCTTCTATCTCTATGATGGTGGAGGTTGTAGTGTGCAATAAACCGACTTGAATTTTTTTGAAATGATAAATATTCCTTTTCAAAAGTGATGTTCTTGAAAGACACAAGAAAATCCTCTCATGTTCAAGCTTTGAAAAACTCAATACTACTGCGCCTTTGACTACAGTTATTGTAAAAAAGAGAATAATCACACAATTTTTGGCAAATGTTCTCTTCCAACACCAATGCTTAACATGTTGCCAATGTCTCGATTACTGGTAAGAGTTGTAATTTCTCTTACAGCTGGCCTCTTTGGAACACTGCTCTTATTCCAGAAAGTCAAAAATCCCACAGATTTGTTACTCCCTCTGCTAATACTTGGCATTCTTGAAGAGGTGCTTCCATCCTTATTGTTGGAACCATATTTATGATCTAAAACACTTCCAAGATCTGATAGTTTGCTCTTTCTATCGTAATTACTTGTATCAAATGTTTGGGGCATTGATAATAATGATTTCTGCTTCTCCTTTTGTTTTCTTTTTTCAATGTAATTCTGTGAGTCATTCATGTCAGTGATAAAAAAGCTCTTTGTTGAGCTAGCTTCTTCCTCTTCGTAGAAATCTTTCTCTGACAGTCTTGGAATAAGGTTTGCCACATCTTCTGTAATGATTCCTTGTTGATCCATCCATTCTGAGAATATTTTGGATCTTCTCTCTGCCTTCTCGTACATTTCTTGTGATTTTTTGGATTGCTTTTCAAGGTTAGAGACCTTCTTTTCTCTATTGGATTGCCGTTTCTTTCGTTCTTCTCTTAATTGCTTATTGACTTTCCTCTGCTCAGCAATTTGTTCTTGAGATAAGGTCTTGTTGGCATGATCCATATCTACAACCTCCTCAGTCTGTTTCTTTCTTCTCTTCTTATTTTTCTTTACATTGGATGACTTTTCCATGTCATTCTTTGAGGGGATACTTGCTTTTTCCTCTGAGCTTCCACTATACTTTTCATAGTGGTAGGAAAAATGCTGGCTGTCAATATAGGCTATCGAATCGGAAATATGGTCATTTCTTTTATCATTCTTCACCTTTTGATTTTCTGCACTGAATCCGTGGATGGCTATGAAATCATCAAATTTGATAGGGAGCTCTGCTTCTCTATTTTTCAATCTTTCTCTTTCTTCTGGAGGAATTTTGAGATATCTTCTAAAGGTTTCATCCTCAATTGTTTTGGCTAATGCCTCTGGGTCTTGTTCCTGTAATTGGGGTGAACCATTGGAATCAGAAGACATTGAGGAAGACGCTCTCGAATCAATATCATATGTATCAGTCATCATTGGACTAAAATTATTATCAACTCTATCTAGAACGTGTTCTTCGACAATATTTTTCAATTCAATACTGATTTGTGGATTAATTGAGGGTAGTTCAATTTTGATTCCAAGATTTGAGGCTGGAGG